TTGTCCTCTATACCCACTGGTCCTCTGTTCCCACTGATCCACTGGTCCTCTGTTCCCACTACTCCTCTGGTCCTCTATACCCACTGGTCCTCTGTGCCCACTGTTCCTCTGGTCTTCCGTTCCCACTGTTCCTCTGGTCTTCAATACCCAATGGTCCTCTGTTCCCACTGTTCCTCTGGTCTTGTGTTCCCACTGTTCCTCTTGTCCTCTATACCCACTGGTCCTATGTTCCCACTTTCCCTTTGGTCCTCTGTACCCACTCATCCTCTGTTCCCACTGTTCCTCTGTTCCTCTATACCCACTGGTCCTCTCTTCCCACTGTTCCTCTGATCCTCTGTACCAACTGGTCCTCCGGTCCTCTGTACCCACTGGTCCTCTGTGCCCACTGTTCCTCTGGTCTTTTGTTCCCACAATTCCTCTGGTTCTCTGTACCCACTGGTCCCCTGTTCCCACTGTTCCTCTGGTCCCCTGTACCCACTGGCCCTCTGGTCCTCAGTGCCCACTGGTCCTCTGGTCCTCTGTGCCCACTGTTCCTCTTGTCTTGTGTTCCCACTGTTCCTCTCGTCCTCTGTACCCACTGGTCCTCTGTGCCCACTGTTCCTCTGGTCTTCTGTTCCCACTGTTCCTCTGGTCTTCAATACCCAATGGTCCTCTGTTCCCACTGTTCCTCTTGTCCTGTATACCCACTGGTCTGATGTTCTTACTTTTCCTCTGGTCCTCTCTACTTATTGGTCCTATGTTCCCACTGTTCCTCTGGTCTTCTGTTCCCACGGTTCCTCTGGTCCTCTATACCCACTGGTCCTATGTTCCCACTGTTCCTCTGGTCCTCTGTACCCACTGGCCCTCTGTGCCCACTGTTCCTCTGGTCTTATGTTCCTACTGTTCCTCTGATCCTCTGTACCCACTGGTCCTCTGTACCCACTGGTCCTCTGTGCCCACTGTTCCTCTGTTGTTTTGTTCCCACTGTTCTTACTGTTCCTCTGGTCCTCTATACCCACTGGTCCTATGTTCCCACTGTTCCTCTAGTCCTCTGTACCCACTGGTCCACTGTTCCCAATGTTCCTCTGGTCCTCTGTACCCTCTGGTCCTCTGTGCCTATTTTTCTTTTGGTCTCACTGTTCCTCTGGTCCTCTGTTCCCACTGTTCCTCTGTTCCCACTGTTCCTCTGGTCCTCTATACCCTCTGGTCCTCTGTGCCTATTTTTCTTTTGGTCTCACTGTTCCTCTGGTCCTCTGTTCTCACTGGTCCTCTGCACCCACTGTTCCCCTGGTCCTTTGTACCCACTGTTCAACTGGTCCTCAGAGCCCACTGTGTCCACTGTTCCACTAGTCCTTTGTACGCACTGTTCCTCTGGTCCTTTGTACCCACTGTTCCACTGGTCCTCAGAGCCCACTGTGCCCACTGTTCCACTAGTCCTTTGTGCCCACTGTTCTCTGTACCCACTGTTCCTCTGGTCCTTTGTACCCACTGTTCCACTGGTCCTCAGAGCCCACTGTGCCCACTGTTCCACTAGTCCTTTGTGCCCACTGTTCTCTGTACCCACTGTTCCTCTGGTCCTTTGTACCCACTGTTTCACTGGTTCTCTGTGCCCACTGTTCCATTGGTCCTCATGAGGGCCGCAAATATGTGAAACGTTACG